CATGAGTGCTGTGTTGTATGGGTGGCTAGCTGCTGCTCTATTGATGGAGAGAATGGTTAGAAGCAGTAGATATGCATAAATATATCTCGATTATCTAGATATAAGTGGTTTCAAAATTGCTCAAAAGTATCATCGAATTCTAGTGTTAAAATGAACTCAAGGATAAGTTACTTTTAGGAGTCGCTGATCTGGAAGCTGCATTCAATGGGAATCATACCTTGGTTATTTTCGATTTCATCGACTCAATAGAAGGTTTAGCTCCCTCGAATCACTCAGGAGAGTCATTATTTTCAAGAATATGTGGCTTTTTACAGCCTTGAGAGAGAGTGTTTTCATACTACTGTCTGATTTATATATTCATCATTTACTCATCCGTGTTAGATTGTCATGACCGGTATCTTTTTCCGATGAGGTTGTTATAGAACTTTCCTTGTTATCAGCTTTACTATATGAATGCCCGTAGGTTTCTCTTGTTGTCGGCAATGAGTCATACACTTTTCTTTTTTATCATACTTTTTGTCTCATCCATATTCGATCGTGATTAATATTTAAATTCACACTAATAAGATGTTCTTTTAATTTATTGGTCATTTGACATCTACTTTATTGAAAGAAGCTAAGCAGTAACACACAGAGTCATACTTCATACAGAAAGGCATGATTATTTCATATTCTTATTCTTCGTTAGTTTTTGCATGTTGTCCACACTTGATTGCATGTTTTAAATCAGTAAAATAACTATCTGAATATTCTTTACGAAGAAATTGAAGCATGAAGTCAGTGTCTTAGTTAATTGTTTTCGGTTTTCGTTCTTTGAAAAGTGACTTTTCAATAGAATAATCTTGAAATTCGTGATCTTTGTACACATGATAAATAAAATTAATAATATGAGAACGAGTTGGCGAAAAACAGATTCCTTCTTTTATTAAAATCGTTAAAGCGATTGTTTGTAGATTTTCAACGTGCAATAATTTTATCATGAAAATTCAAAACGTGATGCTTGAAATAAGCACAGACATTATTCAGAGAAGTCGATATGATGTCATCATTAAATATAGTATAACAAATATGATTGAAAGTGAAATGATGCATGAGCTTTACTAATATGCACTAAATCTATAGTTGGTGCATAGACACCAATGATCTATTGATAAAGCAAAATTAAGGTACTTCTTGAATAGAAATCAAAATCAGCTACAAATAAATGCTTAAGGAATGAATTCGGAAACAAAACTTCGATGGATTTTTAACGGAACTAAGTCGAAATTAATTAGAAGGAAACTAGTTCACTAAAATTTTACGTGGACTTAGGCATGTGTTACTTTATATACTCTATAAGACTTTCTCAATCATCCTTATAATTTTTTATTTGATTATTATGTCACTTACTAAAGTCATTGCACAATGTTTCTGCTTTATATATTTTTTTCTTTCTTTTCTGTGAGCTTAGTCATATTCTAACTCTTTTGGTTCTGTTGGTATTTGTTCATCGTTTATAGAATTTTTTCTTCTCGTTATTTATGGAATTTTCCAAGTAAGGAAACTTCCATCTTGCTCATGCCTATATATAGCTGTTACTTTTGTGTTGTACGAGAATGGCAGACGAGCTTAGTTAGATAATCATAAAATCTGTTGGATTTAACTTCATAAATATTGACTTTAGTTTATCGTAAATCAGAAATAACCTCGAAGTTAAATTTCGCACATTATTTGCTATTGAAAGTAAGTGACAATTACTTATTTAAATGAAAAATATTTTTATTGGAATCTAGCGGTAATGACAAGACAATCGAGAAAACATTCTTTTATAGTTTTTCATCTTTTACAAAGTTAGAATAATTTTTTTTTCTTTAAAACACAGAAGAATTTCTGTTTGAAGTGATAAAACAGAACTTTCATAGTTAATCATGTTTAAATGTTAATCTAATAATTTTACTACAATTTCAGATTTTTTGCGTACAGATTCATAGAAAATGGGTAATTCTTTCAGTGTCAAAAATCAAAATAATATTAATGATTCTAATTTGAACAATCCAAGCAATATAAAGCATAATACAAACTATGACACTCCTACAGCTATCAATATATTACAAGCATTATTTGAAAGTGAAAATTATTGTTTCAATTCATTTTCATCAAATGATCATGGTAAAATTGTTAAAGAAATAATTGAAAATTCTCAACGACAAGAACAAACAACAACTATAGAATTGAAAGGTGATCCTATCTTAAATGAATTCGTCAATGATCTATATACAATCTTCAGTAGTTATCCTTCTGTTGATAATATAAATCATGCTACTGATAGTGGTATGGTTAAATATGAAATCTATTCAATTCAATCTTTAAATTCATTATCTTCTTCAACAACNAATATGGCTACCGAAATCTATGACTATTGGTGAAGCTCATCGTATATTATCTACCATATTATATAGTGATAATACTGATACAATACCTGTTGATCTTGCTGATTATGTATTAGTATATGAAAATATAATGATTTCGTTAGAAAATGACAAAAAAGAATTATATGAAGAAATTTTGAAACTTTCATTTCGATTGAATCGAGTTGCATTACCACCATTTCGATTGTTAGTTATTCATAAATCTCAATTATTATTATTAGAACGTAAAGAATCAAAACCATTACTAATGGATAATGGAACCATTTCTGTTTTACAATTAATTATGTTTCATTTACTTACTAATACTATAAATCAATTAGAAAATGAAAATTCTGATTATAATAAAACTATTAGTACTATCCGTAAGGATCAAGATCATGAATATTGGCCAATTACTGAAATTAAAATGGGAATTATTCCTTCGTCACAATTAATTCATCCATTAAAGTATAATAAACTATGTCAACATATTGCTAAAATTATTCAAACGAATAATTTATCGGGAGATATTAAAAGAAATGTAGATGATTGCTTTAAATTACTAGAAAAAATACTTATTTCAGTTGGTGCTGATGAATCACACATTAAATTTGTAACAACGGCTATGTCCAAATTAGTCCCCGTATATGATTATCCATTATTAATAGCATTACCTTATGACCGCTTATTATTAACACAATTTTATAAAATAAGATGTATTGATGATCGGTATGCTCAAGGAATTATGGCTAATGGAAAGTATTTTTCATTGAATAACAACGCTTATACTCCAATGTTGGAATTAGGAATTAATCCTGGTTCTATCATTCAATTGAAGTTTAATATTCAACCTGATACTATCGTTAATGGAAATCTATTCGTTTCTCAGGTTAATGATACAAAAATTACTGACCATTGTCAAAATATATCAGGTATCAATATAAATAAATTTGCCATAACACAATACGAACTTTCAGCTGAATTTGATAATAATGCAGTTAATTTAATGTTTCCAACTAAAGCCATTAATGTGCTTAAATCTGCTGAAGAATTAAAACAAAAATCAAATAAAGATAAATCAAAAGCAAGTATTATTTCTGAAAAACATCCTGTGATGAATTACTTAAGATCAAATTTAAAATCGTCAAGTAATTGGATTCATTCATCAACAAAAATAAATGAATCAATACAGCAAATAGAGAAACTAAATATTGGGAAAACAAATCCAAATCAAAAAACTCAAAATATACCTTCAAATGAAAATAGTTTAGCTCAAGCAATTCAAACTACTACTAGTTCAGCCACATTAATTAATAAACCGTCAACTTCTTCATTACCTTTCATAGATAAGCCTGAATGTTTAAATTGTTTATCACAACTCAATGATGATAATTTGGAATGTCCACATTGTACACAAGTATTTTGTCGAATATGTATTGAATCTAGTTGTGATAATACAAATCATGAACATTATTGTCCAACATGTTCCAATAAAGTTAAATTATCAGAATATCGTAAATCAAAAATTATTGACAAATTTGAAACAGAAGGTATATCGGCATTTGAATGTTTCATTTGTCATTCAATACCAGAAAAACATAGATT